GAAATGAATCATTTTCAGCTTAAAATAAAGAGTAATAAATATTTATCCATCTCTTTCCCAGACTTTGATCTATATCTTCGGAGACATGCTGAACTCAGTAGGTGCAGCCGGTAAGGTGTTCGAGTACCTGGACCGAAAGTCTGAAGTCAGTATTGATGGTAACCTGCAGCCCAGTGATCTGAAAGGACACGTCAGCTTTCAGAACCTCACCTTCTCGTATCCCAGAAGACCCGACCACGATGTGTTAAAGGTACAACTTTTAGACTGAAGGATCACTTAATTTGACCCTCATCAAATTTGAGAATGCATTTCACATGAACCTAAAATATGAGTAAATAAGGTACTTAAACACACAAAGATATTTCATTTCTTATAATTTCTTTAAAGGGTTATATATGTATATATACACACAGTTAAGTTTATGTGCATACATTTGCAAACATTGTGTATGCTAATGCTATATAGAAAATGTATAATGATGTTAATCAGGATGTATACTAGGATGGTATGTACTAGGTTTATCATATATTTGTAATTTTCATAATAATTACCTTACCTTTTCTTTTTTTTTTCTTCTTCTTTTTTTCAGAACTTCTCTCTGGAGTTGAAGCCGGGTCAGATGACGGCTCTGGTGGGAATGTCAGGAGGGGGGAAGAGCACCTGTGTGAGTCTGCTGGAGAGATTCTACCAGCATCAGCAGGGACACATTCTGTTAGATGGTCAACCACTGCAGAACTACCAGCACAAATACTTGCACAGCAAGGTGACTACTCTGAAATAACAAACCCGTTATTATTGTGTGGTTATATTTTATACCATCTCTGTTGTTCATACAACCTGTGAGTCTACTTAAAGAACAATATACAACCATCTAATGCAATGCAAAGAACATATACTGTAAATAATCTCTCTCAGATAGCGATGGTGGGTCAGGAGCCTGTACTTTTCTCTGGCACCGTACGAGACAACATCGCCTATGGTCTGCCAGGCTGCTCAATGGAGAAAGTAAAGGAGGCTGCCAGCAAAGCCAATGCCCATGCCTTCATCCGCAAACTGGAAGATGGCTACGAAACAGGTAAATGAACTACTTTTCATTCTACTCTTAATATATGTGAACATCAGAATTGCCAGCATTTGTAGCCTTTTAGTTATACATCCTGCCTACACCCCAACAAACTTAGCCTGAAAAGTTTTGCTGGTACACCAGCATAAACCAGCCTGGACTTAGACATGTTAGTCTAAGATGAACTTTACATTTAAAGTCATT